CGTTTCTAAGAACACAAACAAATTTATACAAATTTATATAATAATTAATATAAAAAGAGAATTACAATAATATTTTTATTGAAAAAAGAGAGAATTATCTTTCAAAAATTTATTTTTCCATTGCAGTGACAAAATTGATTCAAACATAAACCCTAATTAAACGAAGCTCTGAAAAAAATCGCGTTAGATATATACAAACGGTATTTCTGTATACGAGACTATATATCATACAAAATTACGTTCGTATAAAATAAATGCATTCGTATGGAAATTTATGTTAACTCTGATCTATTCAAATTTCCTAGACTTCGATCTATTCAAATTTATTATATATCGTTTGGATCAATGTGATTAAAAAAATTATTTAAAAAAAATTATACAAAAAAAAGATTTTACATTAACAGATGAAGTTATCAAATACAAGAGAAAAAGGTTTTTAAATAAAGTATTAATAAAAAAATTAATTACATTTTGAATCAAGTAGATCCGAACAAGATCAGTAGGGTTAATAATTATATTTATTTACAAACGTGATGTTATAAAGTGTAGCATTTAATTTATACGCTTATAAACCTATACATGCTATAAATTCTAAAGAAAGGAGATAAGTTCACATACACAAAATATACGCATGTATAATTGGTTCTAAAGAGAAGCACCATCTGTTAATTAAACTGATGAAATGCTTTGGCTAACAAGATTCCTCTTGTAACAAGGCTCCCCTTATAGCTCTAGATTCCTTCGGTGATTCGCTATACGGAGAACCGATACGTCATTAATCCTAAACTGTACAAACGAGCTCTCGGAAAGGAATATCTCAACAAGATCTCGGAAAAGTAAGCTGTAATTTCTTTTACCACCCGTGGAACCTAAAACCGTAAAAAGGTTTGTCAAGTCTATGTACAAAGTTAGCTGCCTAGAGAAAATGCAAAATAGATTCGAAGCGGAAAAAGTTGCAGTTTTCTGACCGTATAATTCCGAAAAGCAGGATTCTCTTTTTCGAGAGGCGACTTCGTTTGCGACGTGACGTGTGGAATATGAACAATTTAGCAGCGAGTGAGAGGCCAAACTACCTTGAATCTGCCAGACAACATCGGCCAGACCAGGTAAAAGCAAGTAGCAGTCACACGAAGTACAAAGTTACCCGACGATATTCGCCTCATCAACTTCTCTCTACCAAGTTGTCGGTGCCCAAAGCGTTCTTGTCGCGCTCAAGAATCTTGTACGCGTAACGAACGTCTCAGTAAGTTTCAAGGACCGAAATTTTGCTTCGCGTCACAATCAAGACTTTGTTGTTACAGACTTGTCGGCAATGAGTATTGTTAGTGCGACGAATTGTAGTTAGAGTGAAATTATTTAATTGTCTGAATTACCTATATAGGACCTTCCGATGTATAAGTGCATTATCGTTTTGTGACGCGAATATAATTATTATTATAATTTTCAACATACATTTTTACTGATTTTTCTTTATTGCTATTCTAGTTACAAACGTTTCAAGAACTTAACAACTTTAAATCCTTTATCATATTTGTTAACATGATACATTAATATTGTGTTTTGATATCCTCTCGATATTGAAATTTCTTCTCTCGTGTATCTTTTATTACAATATAAATTTCTTTTAGTACGTTTAACTTTGCTAAACTGCTAATCACGTGACAAATATCTGTGTAGTGAGACGTTCGCGGTGTAGAACTAATGTTTTAGTTCCGTCGGTTCGTTCGTGGTTTAGAACGAAGAATTCGATTACTATCGCCGTTCTACGATCCATCTTGTCGGATGACTCGAGCTTGTTCGATTTCTCACGTTTTCTTTGCCGTCCTCCTTCCACTTCTTATTTCTCTAGCTTCTCTGCTTTTCTTATTTCCAAAATTGCTCTTTCTCGCTATTTTCCGTTTTTGTATTTCGCTTCTTTGTCGCAAGCTCCGTTGCTATTCATCTCGTCCGATTTTACATCTTGTGCACGGACGAAAATGAAACGTAAATAGCTAGTAACGTTATCCACGAGTAACGTTGCAATCTTATTTCAATATTAAAACTCGCGAGTTCAAAGGCGCTTTAAAACGAATATCCTTTAATCCGCGTTTTGTCGAAGGCACGCTCTCGCATTCATGGTTGCCAGCTAATTTATTGAGAAATACATCGATACACGTATAATCGGATTACACTTAACTACGCAGCAGAAATCAAGAATTAATGGGAATGAGAATTCGAGAGCCGTTGCGCCGCTCTCGTTATTCGTAACCCGACCTCAGCAAGTCCTGAAATTCGAGTTCGCGAGTTTCAACCGTCTGATCTTCCAATGAATGGCTCGAGAGTGATAAATGAACTGCCGCTTGAATATATACGTGCAGAGCGCACGACGTAAGAAATAACGTAAGAAAAACATACAATTTTCCGTTTAATAAATCTACAATATTCTGTTCTCTCCTGAATTATAATTTCAACGTCCGATATACGCTAATTTATCGATAAACTTGACACGCCTTATTGAAATCGTGAAACGTTCTTGGTATGCACGTCGTTGGAACTTACAAATTTACCAGTACTTTCGTAGCCGAAACACGCAAATTTCGTCGATTTTATCACGGCGCCCATTAAATCGCTTTATGATTGTACCAGAGAAATTCTCACAGTCGTCAAAATCGTCGATACGAGACCCTTCGACGATAAGCGAAGAAGCGAAAACGATTTCTTCATATCTTCATGTCATCGTCATGTTAACGATGCGAAGTCTTTACGGAGGTACGGAGATATGTCATGGAAAATGCAAAAACTACGATCGTGTATGTGAAATGCAGAATGACCCTTCGTCACAAAAACACGAAAAACGATGTCGTACAATTTTATAGTGATGGAACAGAGTAGTTTAGTTAAATTTGTAAGCGTAAGTGGAGATTTTCATAAATATAATTCTAAAAGTTGCTATACGGAGAGAATTTTTTTCGTAGAATTTACTCTGAAAATATGGTGGTCTCCTAGGATAACATTCATATTTCAAAGAATTTTACGTAAATTTCTCTCTCATTCATTAATAAAACTATAATAAAATATGTATAAAATAAGTTTCATTAATTTTACTGAAGTGCTTGGTAAAAATCTTTAGGATATTGTATTGGACACCGAAAAAAAAATATCTTAATTTCAAAGACATATTTTTTTGCTTGCATTAAAAAAAAATGATTTCTTTGGATCAATGAAAATTTCTTTGAAAATGAGACATTGTACAATATCTTTTATTGAATAATATCTTATTTTCAAAGATATTTTTATTGATCCAAATTTAAGAAATAATTTTTTTTAATACAAGCAAAGAAATATTTCTTTGCTCGTATTAAAAAAAAAGTGATTTCTTTGGAACAATGAAAATTTCTTTAAAAATAAGATATTGTACAATATCTTATTGAATAATATCTTATTTCCAAGACAATTTTCATTGATCCAAAGAAATCTTTTTTTTTTCTTCTTTCAATACGAGCAAAGAAATATTTCTTTGAAATTAAGATTTTGTTTTCAGTATATCACAACTATCGAGACAACTACTATATTTTCAGGATAAATTAAAAAAAAAATTCTCTCCGTGCAGAAATCAGGTCAAAACTATCATTTATTCGCTAATCGGACTATTGACCAGTAGTATATCATCGCGGAACTAATTCAGTTGCGATCGGTAATAATGCTATTTTATCCCTATCCGATTGGACGAGTTGCTTTCGTATTTATCGATACCCTACTTTATAGCTCCATTAATGTCCAACTTTAATGACCATTAAACGTCCAAGAGCGCTAATGTATCGCGCGACAGAGAGAAGAAAAAAGCGATATTGATTTAATGACACAGATTTAGGGTTAATTCGCGCGAATCCAAGAAAAAGTACAAGAAGCGGAAAGAACGGAACCCTCGTGTTTCGTTAATCATCTGTGACTACCTCATAACTCCTTCAAGATTCCCTCGCGATTAACTGTTACAATCTTTAAACATTGCCCCAACGAGGGCAAGGAGCTTAAAAACTTTTCAAAGCTGCATCCCCTACTTTTATAACGCTCTCTATAATGGCATAACGTAATTAAAATCGCGCGTAACGCGATTGCTCACCTGAATCCAGTAAGGCAGATAAAAACCGGAGCACGCGAGAATCGAGGCCACAGTGGACAGAGTAGCCCACAGCACGCACAGCACTGTCATCTCATCGGTTTAGGAGCGATCACCTCTCTCCCTCACGCACTGCAGTTCATCCTCCATCCGTGCATAACTGTAGGGGACCACCCCCCTAAGCGGTGTCAGGATCACGAACTTCGACGCACCCACACGGGAGATCGGGACCTGCACACGATCGTGGACAGCCGATCCCGACAGCCGCTCTCGACAACGTTGACCCTCGTCGCCTGTTAAATCCTCTCTTTACGCCATGGCTGGCAAAAGGCGACGATCGATCGTGCGAGTGACATTTATTAGGGTATTGATGTTCCTGTCGCGGCTCGTTTGACACTCGCGGGCTGTTAATTCCGAGATCGATCGATCCTCCTCCTAATCGCGGATCGCAGAACGTGCCGGACGATGCGTTCTCTTGCGGGTTCGAACATCCGAGTGCTTTAATTATTCCCTCTTGATCATTCGGTCTTTATCGCCGTTCTCCGATGTAACGTTTCCCCGACGAGAGGCCAACGCGAAGCCGTTAATTCAGATTCCACGAGGAATTATTACCTCGGCTCGTAAAACGTGACCGAGGTGTCGCTCAGAATATCACTTCTCTGAAATGAGTCACGCGGTTAATTCCAACTCCCGTTCTGCAACGTGTATATCCCGTGCCGCAAAATTTATGCCGAGTGACGATGAAGCGATTTCCCCACTTACACACTGAGAAACCACAAGAAAGTTACCCTTCCAAACGCATTGCACAGTTCACTGCCTGAAGTTCCGTAGACGAGCCACTCCGTTTGTCAGCCACAACTGTCATCCAGGCCCGAGTTTATTATTCCGCGGAATGCATTAGTGCCGCTTGTTAATAATCCTCTTTCGACAGATGTCCCGAAGATCGCTTCCCAAAGTTACCACGTCTATTGCCATGTGGATCCGGCTAATTATTATAAAACGTGACATTTATTAGGGAACGTTCGAAAAGAAATTGATGTCGCGCAAGTCGTATCCTCTATTTTTTCCGCATCGCGTCGTTAATTTACCGAGAGTCCGTTTTTCGGATCGAGAATCCACTGATGGAGCTGAAACTCTTGCAGAGATGGTACTTTGTTCCCCTGCCAGACGCCTCCTCCAAGGTTAATTATAGATGCGACCACCGCTACCCACGCTGCGGTGCTCGCTCTCCACCACGCTCCCGATAAGTGAAGCGCACGTTCGTAAAAAGCGTTCGTATCATTCGTTTTGGAGTCGGGCGCCCGCGCCGTCACTCTCCGCGCGCGGCGCGGAAAGACGTTGAGAAAAATCGCGAGACGGAGACCGTGCGGCGGAAAGTTGATGTTTCCGGTTGTTGAAATTTAACCTTCCACCCGGAAGTCGACGACACCTCTTTTTCTGAAACGAATCTGAGACGAGACGAGCGATGACGGGAAAAATATAGCGCGCGCGCGGATATCATCCGTGAGTTGTCGACGACGATTACCGTCGTCGTCGTCGTCGTCGTCGTCGTCGCGCACGGCGCCGCTTCGTGGCTGCGACTGAACGGTTCCGTTCTCCACACTCGGCAGCGTTCCTCTCTTCTCGCTTCTCTCCTACCCACCCGCGTCGGTCCGCGCCGCGCCGCGCCGCGCCGCGTCGCGCCTGCAACCGCACCGTGTGGGAGGACCGAGAGAGCGCCCGACGATGCAGGACCAGGACGCACCAGCATCCCGCTCTTGGACATCTGGCGAGCACACGCCGCGCCGTACACGCATGGAGAACGGCGACCTCCGATATAGTATATACATACGCGTTACACGACGCGACAGACGTGTGCGTGCGCAACGTAACACGTGTACGAATCACGCTATCCGTGGACACCCCCCCCCCCTCGCCCGTATGTTAATGAGAGATCAAATAATCGCGGTACATTCATCTCTTCCCCACTTCCACCATCACCCGTTAAACGTTCTTGCTCCAAGTTTCCGACAGGTCCGACATTGGTTCTACATTTGATGTAGATCATCATTAGGAAATATCATCTCATTATCTGTTTTTCATATATATATATATATGGATTATTATAGCGATAATTGAAAAATCTCATTGTTCTTTCTCTCACTACTCTGGTACTTTGACATTAATTTTCCTTGTATTTTTCTCTTTTTTTTTAGCAAGATTTTAGACGATCGATATATTGATACGGATTTAATAGACTCCCTGGTGTATTGATTTAAGAATAAAGAACTTAACGCTTTGATTGTCACGACGTAAGTAATCTAAATAATTGAGAGCTTACTATATATTACCCACACACACACGCACACACACACTACTACCATTAATAAAATCGTTTAATATAACAGACTCTTCAATTATTTTAACTTACTACATATTCCAAAATCACCGGAAATTTTTTTTAATCACAAGTTTTTTAATCAATTTAAAATCGATTTCTCCTTAGCAAATATATGTAGAGATATTACTAATTTTTAAATTACTTGTAGTAATTAAGAAAAAAGGTTTTTACTTAACAAGATTGCGGAAAGACAAATATGTCAAGAAAACATAATTAATTGTTTAATTAATTTTAGGTAGTTATTGAAAAAAATCTTTTATTTCCAATAATCACAAAGATACGTGATGCAAATAATCAAAAGTTGTAACAAATATCATTCTTTTTTTAAAAACAAAATTGGGTTGAGAATTCGAAAAAGACCGTAATTTTCAGATACATTATACAGGATGTTCCGTAAATTTTGGCCAATCGCTTTTGTGTAGATAGAGCGAACAAAACTGAATCGAAAAGTCCTCTATCATTTTATAATTTTCGCAATGTTAACGAGATATTAATTACTAAAGTGGCTAAATATTATTCTCCAATAATTTTTTACTCAAATACTATCAACTTCACAGAAAATCTGCAAGAGACAAAAATCATTAATTTTCTTCTTATAAAACTTTAAGAATTTTTTATCAACTTTTTAGTATTGCATTTTCTTATTTTTACCACGGAAAAATACAATATTAAAAAATTCTGAAAAAATTCTCAGAACTTTATAAGAAGAAAATTAATGATTTTTGTCTCTTGCAGATTTTCTGTGAAGTTGATAGTATTTGAGTAAAAAATTATTGAAAACCAATATTTTACGATTTTTAATAATTAATATCTCGTTAACCATTATGAAAATTGTAAAATACTAAATTGTAAAATAATGGTAGAGGACTTTTTGACTTAGTTTAGTCTGCTCTATCTACAAAAGCGATTGGCCAAAACTTACGGGACACCCTATATAATATGCCAATTTATTATCAATCCAATTACGTAAAAACAGTTACATGAAAATGAATAAATGAGACAATAAGACAATTTTTGATAAACATGGCAGGGTTCCAAAAATGGATAATACAAGGTGGAATGGTTTGTTGCCAAATCAGAGAAACACTTGCTTTTGTCACAAAAATACCCTGTGCTGGAAACACGGAATTAACACGTAATTGCTAATGAAATTGTACATGCCCTAATTCTATGTATATTGATACGAGATGCTAATGCACAGCGTCGCCCCTTCCACCGTAAAGCCAGATTGGAATTGACAATGCGTGTGATCTACCCCACACATTGAGTCTTGAGGAATTCGAGAAATTTCGTCTGTTCATATTGGCTGTGGCTCATAAAGTTAAAATAGCTTAATTAATGAAACGAAACTGCGAAAAGAGATGCGTTAAATCCAGCACGACATGAGAAATATATTTTACTTATTTTTCATGTAACGTTTAAGTCTACACTGCACGAATGTGTCTCTACAAATATGAATACATATTTTCACGGAATGAAAAGTTACTTTTTAAAAGTAACAAGTTACAGTTACTTGAGAAAGTAACTTTTCGTTATTTTTCCGTTATTTTTTTTTTAAATCGACGTCCGCCAATCACAGCGGACAGGGGCTTCTCTAAGTCTCAAGCGATATGCACTGTAAAAAATTTTTGTGTGAAATTACAACTATTATAGTGGGTAATTTTGAAACCCATTATAACAGTTGTAAACGTCCACACGTTTGCAAATTTGCAATATGCAAATAAAAATAATTTTTTGATTTGCAACTATGGAGATTGTGGAAGTTCAATTACAATGTGTATGTATAGTAATATGACAATTACATTTCGCACTATTATACATTTGTTATACATTTAACAGCAATATAGCGAAAAATTTCTTATATTACATAATATTGTTAAAATTTGGATAATTACAGAAAATATTCAAAACATCCTGCTATTTACATAACTTTCCATATAAAATAAGACATATTTACACAATAAAACCAAATTTACATAATTTTTATGGAATTACATATAATCTGTTGATATCTGCAAAATTGTATAATTTTTTATATTTGTAAGACTAATCGTGTAATTTTTACATCTATTATAAAAGTAACTGTAAAATTCACTACCGTTACGAAAAAAATGTAACTTCGTTACCGTTACAGTTACCAAAGAAAAAAAATAACGCAGTTACCAGTAAATTTACGAAAAAAGTAACTTGCAACTGTAACTTCGTTACAAGTAACGAGTTACTACCATTTTCCGTATTCATATTCGTCTTACATATAGACCGCTCGTTTGATAAATCCATCCTCCACCGCATTGTTGTTCCGGTCAGCTCTGCATCACGTCTATTGTGGGGAACCTCGTTAACATTTCCATCATCCATCATCGACATAGAGACGTTCTCGCTTGTTCCCGCCGGCTATCGACGAAACACGGATGGTCCCGTTTGGCACTGGTTATCTTCCTCTCAGTCACATTAGGATAATGAACCGTCGGGTTTTCTCTGTAAGCGTGAGACAAATGCAAACAGAGACGCTAAAGCTACATGAATAAGAACAAAAATGGAATTATGGAAAAACGTGAAACGGCTGGAAAAAAATTGGAAAAAAGAAATTGTCAACTTATATAGCGAAAACGGCGATTTTGTGATATAAACATCTACATATCTACATATTTTGCGAAATGATACGAGGCTTTCTATTCTGGTGGACGGAGAAGAAATAAGCGCAACCCTTTTGTCCATCGTCCGACTTTCCCATACGCACGTATGGATATGTGTGTTGAAATTAAGGCGAACCGACATGTTGGTGAAACGAGATGATTTCAAGTATGGTAAAGTCTCATTTCGGTGTAAGCTTCATCGAGTTTTATGGTCGTTTTACGCGCTACTTCACTCGTCCAGTTACTCGTCCGCGTTACGCCAGCTATAACATCATTGCAACAATAACGTTAATCCGCTACCGATGATGGCTGGAACACCGATAACATCGAATACATTTTGAAACGCTCGACAAGCGTTCGGCAAAAAAGATCGTTTTCAGAAGAAGGAAGAACGGGAAATTCTCTGAAAACGTAGAGCAAACTCCTTCCCTACGACATCGTCGTCCGCGTCCAGAATCCCCTGTCGCCAAACGAGAAAGGCGCTATCCTCTCAAACAGATTATGAGTCCCGGATTTATTTTTACGACCGGCCAGATTCCAGCGCACTTGTCTCCACATAGAGGAGACAAGAAGGAAGGAGCGGGAGAAGGCGAGCGAACTGATGCACCGCAGCTCCTGCTTGATTCGATGGCGGTGCTTCGAATCACGACACCGTAAAATATATAACGGCGCTTTTTATAGAAAGCAACGCGGGCGAAAATAATCATCGTCGGGCGTCCGGCGATCGAGGAAGGACAGGGGATGAAATCGCTGGATTACCCTTTCCCTCACGCGTCATAGACGAGAACAACACGTCATTCCGTCCGGCGCACGAGACGCTGGAATTGGTTTAATGCGTGTTTTCATGTATATCGTAAACCGCAGC